GTCAGACCTGACTGTTACCTTTCTCTGCTTAATTAATGACAAATAGTTCAAATGAAAAATAAACATTTAAAAAACATTGAATATTTTGAGATAGCCATAGAGGAGAAAGGCCAAGAATAACAGAGCTGTTCTGATACTGTCTCTCTTCAGGTTATTCTCCACAGAGTGCAGCAGGTGTGTGCAGAGCATAGAGCCCACAGAGCTGGTGATGCGGGCCTCAGGGAGCGTCTTCCACCTGCGCTGCTTCTGCTGCCGCGTGTGTGAGCGCCCGCTGACCAGAGGGGAGGAGTTCACTCTGAGAGACGGTCAGCTGCTGTGCAAGAGGGACTACCAGAATAACCTGCTCTGCACCGCCAGCCCACACTCACACTCAGGTAGGACCGCGGTCAGTTAGTAGCCTGTTACTGACCAGCCTGTTCCTGACCAGCCTGTGACTGACCAGAAGACCAGCCTGTGACCTGGTACAACTGGAAAACCGTAAAAACCAGAATCCCGTTTGGCCTTTTTGTCTATTTCTGCAGATAGCAGTGATGAGGAGGAGTTGAAAATGAAGTCAGAAAACCTCCTCGTAGCAGGGAAGAGCAACAGTGACCAGAGGAGTCCTGGCCGGGTCAAACGGCCACGCACCATCCTCACCAGCCAGCAGAGGCGGGCCTTCAAGGCCTCCTTTGAGGTTTCCTCCAAGCCCTGCAGGAAGGTGAGCAGAGGAGTCCTCTACATAAATGTGTCGGGAATGACTTTTGATTGGTCATCAGACTATCGCACCTCTATTACCTCAAACAGCTTCAGATGGGTTTGATAACAGCTTCAGAATGCCTTACTGTATGCATCCGTCTCAGATGAATACCACCCACGGTTTGTCTGATGCCAGGATGTTTTACTAACCCACACCGCCTGTAACGCCTGTAAGTCAGCAGGTTTCCGCTTGCCTCTTGTCTCCAGGTGAGAGAGACCCTGGCGGCAGAGACTGGACTCAGTGTTCGTGTTGTACAAGTCTGGTTCCAGAACCAGAGAGCTAAGGTCAGTCACCAAAACAGGCTGTTGGAACACACTATGCACAAAAGTTACAGTGTCAGGGTCATCCTGACCCATGGGAGAATTAGGGGGAACACTAAGGTTTCCTGACCCATGATGATGACTGGCACCAGGGGGCGTGTTTTGGGCCCTTTTTCGGCCTTCCAATTCATTTCCACGGTGTTTCGCCTTTTTCGCCGTTTATTCAAAAACGCCTGGACTAATGAGAGAGAAGGATATGAGCATGCGTCCTGTGGTCAGTTCAGACGCGTGTGCAGATTTTGGTGCCGAATCCGTGGAACTTTGCGGGACTAGTTACGCGTTGAAAATCGGGCGGAAACGGCCACGGAATAAAAATGCACTCAGGATGTAGTAGCAGATTCCCAACACTTCAACACAGGGAAGCTGTTTCTTCCATTAGATGTTGGGTTCATCGGTGTCTGCATTTGTATCCTCTCCCCAGGACTGAGGAAGAGCAGTGTCTCTACCTGTGTTTCTGTTTACAGATGAAGAAGTTAGCACGCAGACAGCAGCAGCAGGAGCAGCACAGCAGCCAGAGGCCCGGCCCAGGTCAGGAGGCAGTGTGTCTGTGTGTGTGTGTGTGCGTGTGTGTGTGTGTGTGTGTGTGTGTGTGTGTGACTGTGTGTGTGTGTGTCTTTGTGTGTGTGTGTGTGTGTGCGTGCCATATCTCAGCAGACAAAGAGAAAACACTACTTTTATGCCTCTGAGATGGGAATCTGTCCATTAGAAGTAGAATGACAGTAATTACCAGACGCTGTGTAACTGATGAATTACAGAAGAAACAGCTTGAAAAATTGCTTTAATTATTGGAACAGTAAACAGTCCAGTCCCTCAGCAAACAGGCCCAGTTTTGTCGGCTTTAGAGGGAGCCGGAGCAACGTTTCTGCTGGAGGCTGTGATTTATTCTGATGGCAGAGCTGTAAAATGGCAGCCGCCCGTCCCCGTGTTCCTCCTGATTAGGCGGCTTTTTGTGTAGCGGATATGAGCACACAGTTTAGATAAGTGAGCCGCTGCTTTGGCAAGTTCTGCCTCTATCTGTTTGAGGACTTCCAGTGTGTCAATATTGGCAGTGGAGCAGGGTTTATTACGGCTCATAACCAAATAAGCTGAGCAGAGCAGCTAGAGGGGATTGTCTGAATCAGATGTCAGAAAAAATGAAGGCCTACTCCACTTATATCATCAACCCAGCTTAGACAATCCAACATTTATGTTTTATAGAAACTAAAAAATATGTATTTTTACGTCTTTATGAAGATCTGGCCACAGTCCTTTTTTTATTGATCCTGCTGCTCATTTGATTTCTACAGTTATGTAGCAAGAAGGAGAGCAGCCAGTACAACACAACACAACAGAATCCAATACAACACAACACAACAAACCGCAATACAATACAAAACAATAAAATACAACACAACACAGTAAAATACAACACTAAACAATACAACACAATACAATACAATACAATACAATACAATACAATATAATACAATACAATACAACTCAATACGATACAATACAAGATAATACAACATGATACAATACAATACAACACAATACAATATGATACAACACATCATAGTACAACACAATACAATACAAAACAACACAATAAAATACAACACAATATAACACAATACAGTACAACACAACAAAATACAACAAGATGTAACACAACACAACACAAGGCAAAAAAGCAAATCATGTCCACCCAAAGTATAAAGTTGATGACGTGCCAATAAATTTTTTTTTAATTTACACAACTCAACAAAGATATTTCCCCCCCCCCCCGCTGTGCAGAGTCGGGCTGTGTGGAGGACCTGTTCAGCTCCTGCTCGGGGCCGTTCCTCTCAGCCCACCAGCAGCTGGTCACCATGGAGCACAACGTCTACACCCAGGCCTTCCAGCAGGGCCTCACCCCCCCACAGATGCCCGGGGACCACATGAACCCCTACGGTCAGTACCACAAACACCTCCGTCTCTGTGTAGGGCCGCCATGTTCTGGTTTCCAGAGAGGAGGAACTCTGCCTCCAGATGATCCAGACAGGGTTCTCAGATGTTCATGAACAGGCTTTATTAGACCTCCATGGGACAAAAAGAACTTTGGTAGTAAAACACAATCTGTGACAACCAGGAACTAAATGATAACCCTCCTTTAAAATACAGAGATAAAATAAATAATGTTCTAAATGTGACCTCTTCTGGATTAGAAAATACAGCTTCAACTAAACACCTCTGAACCCCATCTGAATGGAAGAAAGGAAACAGACTCACAACCACACAAACTCAACTAACAACAAGGATCTACACTAAGTTTAGATATTTTTTGTATCCATACACTAAGTTTAGATCCTTTTAGTATCTATATACTAAGTAGATATCCTTTTTGGATTTATATACTACCAGCTTTTGGGATGTGGCGCTATATAAAAAAAATGAATTGAATTGAATAAAAAAAAGGCTAATAAACCAAAACCTTCCCGACCCCCATACAGTACCTCCAGGACCCCCTCGGGGTCGCGGGCCCCCTGTTGAAGCTCTCCCCTCTAGAGGATGCTCTGCTGAGCGGGGTGACCTCTCCCCTGTCCCTCTCAGGTCCTGACCCCCCCCTCCAGGACGTGGACAGCGAGGCCTCCCTGGTGAGTGTGGGCGACTGCTTCCTGGCTGCCTCAGACTCGGGTTCCTGGACCAGCCGGACGGGGAACCCCATAGACCAGCTCTACTCCATGCACATGTCCTACTTTGCCTCCTGAGTCCTGAGCAGCCTTCCCCTCCCAAACTCCTCTGAAGAGAGCAAAGAAGTCCAGATGCAGCCACCAGGCCGTCCAGAGAAACCCAGCAGGTCCAGACAGGAGCTGACCGGCTGGAGCTCAGCCTGCCAAAGAAAAGGGAACACCTGAAACCTGTGTTTCTGAGTTTAAACACAGGAGATTTGGCTTTTCAGGTGGTCACATTTGTAGACACATTTCAGTTAATATCTGTACAAAAACCTCTGTTTCAGCCGGGACTTACTCCAGCTTCTCAAGGTCTGCTCTGAGTAACTTTAGGATTCCTTTTCTGTTAGAGAACACAGTTTAGATCAATCAAATACTACTGGATGTTGTTTATTGGGAGAATCAGATGAGGACTGTTATAATTTATGTTGTTAAAAAACAATCAACATGTTTATTTCTGTATATGTGATTGTGTGTAAACCAAAAGCTTTTTATTTAATTGACCACAGAGTTATGTTGTAAAGCACAAACACTGTTTGCCTCAGTATTTTTGTTGAGTTATGATTTGCTTTGCTATTTATTTTTCCATGTATTACTTCAGGACATAAGAGAGGAATCCTCTTTCATTCGCCACAAACCAAATCTGTTTGTTTTCTAAGTAAACAAAGCCAGCACAATCTGAGTGGAGAACTTCAGATGATAACGCTGGTGTTCTGTTTAGTCCAGCAACGCCCCAAAACACGTGAACAGAGACCGTTACAATTACGAATAATAGTAACACATACCACTTCTTTTTAATAGATAGATCCAGAAATTCATTAATATATTTATCAATGTATAGAATGTTTCCATTTGTGATAATTTCATTTGTACTTTGTGGCATTTAATTTTGATATTTTCCTGATTTCTTTAATAATTCTTATTCATTTTTCATAAATAAAGTCATAATACTAATTATTTTTAAATACTTGAACAATCCGCCTATCCTTTATTGTGTCTGTCCCTTTAAAAATTACGTCATAGCTTTTCCAGGATTTCTTTCTTACAGGAAAACGGGTGAAAATCAGTGAGGAAAGAGAAGTTTTTCCCTGACCCATGGTGCTTTTGTTTGTCTGAGCACAGAGCTGTCATTTGGTTCAAATCAGTGGAAGAGTTACACTTAATTTTGAATTTCTGTTTTGTGGGACGGACTGAAGATCCCAGATAATCCGTGTTAAGGGCGTCCTTTCTATTAATGAAACCAAACAGCAGTATTTGTATGAACATATGAGCATAGTGGGTAAACCTCCCAAAACCTCAGAGTTTACTTAAAAACCAGATCACAGAGATTTGACTTAGACTCAACTTTATTTATCCCTTTATTTCCTCTTTCAGAGAAATTGTGGTTCCAGTAGCTTATGTAGAGGTCAAAGGTCAGAGTTAAAGCAAGATGCCATTAAGATAAAAATACAATAGGCAATATAAAACGAGTGGAAATGGTACAAAAGAGCATAAGAAAATCTGTAATTGTTGAAAAGTAGCCGTAATATTTGGTCTGCTGGTGCTCTCCTACATGTGATAACAGATTCTGTAGTATAGCTTCTGTAAGTTTTTAAATATTTGATGAAATGTGTCAGAAATTCACTTGGACACCAGTCAAAACCTACATGTGGTAGATTTGGAATTAGCCGGTTTCAAAGCCTGTACATGAACAGTTGATACAAGAATGAGGTGGATGTTCCAGAGTGGTACCAAACATATTAGCAGGAAAAGGCCAAAGGACTCCATCCATTGTCCATAGCAGCTATTGCCTGTAGGCTCGTGGGGGGGCGGAGCCTATCCCAGTAGCCAATGGGGAGAGGCGGGGTCCCCCTGGACGATCCCCAGTCCATCACAGGGACACACAGAGACACACAAGGACCCACAACCACACACACTCACACTAAGGGCAGTTTGGAGTCCAACAACCTAACATGCAGGTTTTTGGAGGGTGGGAGGAAGCCGGAGAACCCGGAGAGAACCCACAGACACAGGAGAACATGCAGACTCCACCCAGAAAGGTCCTGGTTCCCCCGGGACTCCAACCCAGAACCCTCTGGTCCTGGTTCCCCCGGGACTCCAACCCAGAACCCTCTGGTCCTGGTTCCCCCGGGACTCCCACCCAGAACCCTCTGGTCCTGGTTCCCCCGGGACTCCGACCCAGAACCCTCTGGTCCTGGTTCCCCCGGGACTCCAACCCAGAACCCTCTGGTCCTGGGTTAGGGTTAGAAGCCATGAAGAGCTTTAAAAGTAATCAATAAAGTCTTAAGGTCAATTAAAACATAGAACCTTTGTAATGAAGCTAGAACAGGAGTAATGTGTCGTATTTCTGTGTTCTGGGTTTAATCCCGGCAGCTGAGTTCTGAACAGTCTGGAGCCTAACAATAGATTAAACTCAAAACAAGCAAATCCAGGTGAGAATCCCCAGAAGTGGACCTGGGGAGTCCTCCTGTGACCTGGGTGCTTATCCTGTTTATCCTGTTTGGGCCCATGGCCCCTCAGAGAACAGGGCTGGCCCTCAGAGAACAGGGCTGACCCTCAGAGAACAGG